AGACTGCTGAAGGAGCAGGGTTTTTCTAAAACGTGGTGCTGGAGAAATCATTAATAATGAAGTTAAGATGATGAAAAGAAGGCTTGATTTTCAGGAAGTGCACACGTTTCTGTATAAGTGGTGTAAACCTGTTAGCTAAGAGTTTAACAGAGGTCAAAGGAGTGAGTCAGGGAGGCAGATAGACAGAAGGACAGACAGAGTCATCCTACAAAAGTGATTTGGATGTCTAGTAGGCATCTTGGTTAGAGAATGTCTTTCCCCTTAGGTTCCAGGCAGTGCTGTTTTTGTTTGTGTAGGGTATTTAGCCTGCAGACATGCAGATTGAAACCTGTCAGTGTGCAGAGGTGGTGTAAGATAAAATTGAAACAACAAATCTTGGCTAGACCTTTATATTTTAAAATCAAAACCCAGCTGTTAACTTCTTTCCATGTTTATGCAAAACATCGAAATTCATTAGTAGTAAAACAAATATGGAAGAGCTGATGATTTTTATATTAATAAAATGGAGGATGATTTTAGATAGTGGATAGGCCAAATTCAGTCCCTTTAGGTCGTGGTTGAGTTTCAGCTTCTAGTGATCTGAAATCTTTGTCTCCAGTGCAGGATCCCACACTTGAACAGCCAAATAAATATTTTCCAAGTTCCACCAATAAGCAAAAGCAGCCATTTGCATTGTTAACAAATAAATGAATGAATCTAGGGTTTCTTGTAGATTGACTTTATCCTCTTCACTCCCCCTAAATCATTTTGAAAAATGCAAAACTTTATTTCCAGATGCAGTTGCTCTGTTGCACATATCCTTTAATGTCACATTTTAAAATTATTTTCCTACTGTTAGAACAGTTTTTGGATTAGGGGCTGTGTGTGCCTCATGTTTTATGAAAAGCCCTTCTGGAATGAAGCCCCTTTTGCCAATTTGTGAGGTGACCCTTTCTGTCTCATCATAGATTATGTTTGACAGTTTCACCTCAGTGCCCAATCTTTTTTAAAATTCTGAGAGGAGATAATAGCAGAAACATTTAGCAACAGTAAAATCCATTCCGTGTAAAATATTTTTTAAATAATTTATTATATAATTTGGGTGGTTTTGATGAGGATTTTTGCTAGCTCTTTCCATCTCAGCTCCCTTTGTGTAAAAGAAAGGATACTAGCTGTTGGCTTAGCTTCATAGCATTTTGGGATAGAAGCGTATAATGAAGAATTTAAAATGGTTTGCAGATTGCGTATATACATCAATAGGGAAGACAGAAATCTTAACTTTTCTGGTTCTCCACCTGCTGCTTTATGGCTCTTTTCACCATCTTATTTATATTTTGCATAATGCTAAGGCATCTCAAGCTATCAGTTTAAGAGTTAAAGCTCTCATTTGTCTTTATGTGGTCATAACTTTCTGGATTCATAGTATAAACATGTCATTGATTATATTCACATTCAAATATGTCTCTGCAGTGGTAGGTCTAGCTAGTGCCATCACAGATGGAGGAGGTGGGTAAAGGAGACATTGCCTGTCTGAGGCAGTTTGGTTTGTTTTAGAATCTGATTGTAATGGCAACCAGTTCTTCAGGGTATCTGAAATGTGAATAGTAGCTGAGATTCAGAAACAATATCTTTCTTCTGTAATTCCCTGCTCCAGTTCATACAGGAGATCAGGCACGAGACACTATACAATAGAGGAGTTCTTGTGTGTCTAGAGAAGCCCTAGTTTTCATCACTTGCTAGTAAGAACAGCCATTTGCAGAGTTGGTAAGTTGGCTGATACTGATTGTATTATTAAAAAAACTATCCTATAGCCAGATCTGTGCAGGTGACAGCGTCTGTTAAATCTTGTCTGGGATTGGGAGCTAAGCAGGGTTGGTCCTGATTAGTACTTGAATTGAGGACCACCAAGAGAGTCCAGGTCTGTAGACTAGACCAAATCCCAGAAGAACGACACACAACTGTGTGTGGTAACATACCTAGCCAAGCTTGGCTGATCTTGAAAAGCTGATCAGGATCAGACCTGCTTAAATACTTGAATGGGGCACTACCAGGAGATCCCAGGGCTGTCCACTAGTCTGGGAAATTGGTGGGATGGGGGGAGGAGGAGGGAACCACCTTGGAAGAAAGCATTGGCAAACCGCGCCTGTCTTGTTGCCGAGAAAATTGCATGGAAGTATCTGTGAAGTCGCCAAGCGCTGAGTCAACTTGAGAAAGACTTTACTTTTAAAATAAACCTAATCGTGGCATTTTGCATTGGCTGTAGCCTCTAGCCCTGTCCTAAAAGCCATCTGTGCCTTGAGAGCATTTCAGTGATAGCTCTTGGTATCGCAGTAGCAATCACAGTATACTTTCTCTCTGATTTACTTCTGGATGTGTTAATTACTGAACATTTGCTTTTCTTTTTCCGCTGCAGTTTCACAGAAGAATCTATAAAGGAATTCCACTACAGCTGAGAGGTGAGATCTGGTCCTTGTTGCTCGATGTCCCGAAAATGAAAGAAGAAATGAGAGATTATTATAATGTGAGTTTCCAAGCCAGAAAGTGAAATGTAGAGCTTTTATTTTATATAATGCAGCAAACCATAAATGTAGTTCAATTCAGAGGGATAAAATGTTATCCTAAAAGCCATTCTCTCCAAGTTTTCATCTCTTTTTTTTTCTGGAGAAGTACTAATATGAACCCTAAATCAAAATTATCTATTAGGCAAGAACCTTAGTACAACTCCAACTTAATTTCTCATGCCTAAATATTTTTGTAGACTTCTTTTTTCCTGCTGAAAAGATTCCACATTTCAGTATTGCCTATGTATATTTATGCTATGCCCAGTCAGTGCAATTTCTCTGGTCTCATTCTTTTCACAAGATTTTCTCTCACCTGACCTGGTGTATTGTTTGTTTTTTTGTGTGTGTATCGTACATCCAGAGTCACATTGTTTGAGTCGGGTAGCCTTATAGATTTGTGAATAAAACAAATAAATGTTGCAGACTAAGAAACAGTCTTGTGACAGCTTTATTTTGTTTTCAAAATTCTCTTTTAGATTTTGTCTTTGTTATGTTTATGCATTTTTCCGGTTTTAAATCTTTTACTTTTTAAATTGCAAATGCAGAGAAGCTTTGAAATGAGGCAGTGGTGCACGGGAAGGTGTGGTGGATGCAAGAGTGAAATATGTATCTGCTACTGTTTTGCTTGGGGGATTAATAATTACATTCAACCTGCCAAAGACTCAATGTATCTATTTCCTTTCACCTTCAGTGAAAAGTGGCAGGAAATTGTGCTGTCAAAAAGTTGTAATTTAGGGCAGATTTACAGCCTGTGGACCAAAACATACATATAATGCTTTTCCTGAACTGATGTCCTCTGGATGTGCTGGGACTGCAGCTCTCAGAATCTCCTAGGCACGTGACCTCTAGAATTCTGGAAGTCCTTACACATCTGGAGGGCTCCAGATTGGGAAAGGCGTGTTCACTGAGGCATAGAACCTTCTGCAACATGCAGAAAATTCAGAAGCAGCTAATTCTCTTAACTCATGCCGCCTCTGATTTTCTGCAGCACTCACCGATAAATAGAACAAATGTAAGATGTTCCTTTCATTCCTTTCACCAGGAGGTGTGCTGGGTCAGGCCAAAATGTTCTCTACCATCAGCATTCCATGTCATGGCTTCTTCCAGATGTAAATATGGAAGCCAGCAGAAGGACATGAATACAATACACTTTCTCATTTGAATTTCCCAGTTGTTGCAGTTCAGAGAAATATTCGCTATGGTTGACTGCTTGTACTTGAAATCCTGTCTCTTGTGGGAAGAAGGTATTTTGTAAGAGAGAAAATCTGTTATGCTTCCCTCCTCATCTACAGCAGAACAGGTTTACCACCTTTGTGAGAAGTTGAGTGCCATCAAAAAGGATTATGAGTTCATAATGAGCTGTGAAGTCTTGGTGTATACATTTGTTGATTGTTTCTCTCTCTCCCCCCTAGACTTTAAAAACTCGAGCAAGAGGGACCTCTCCAGATATCCGGCAAATTGATCTTGATGTTAATCGGACCTATCGGGATCATATAATGTTCAGAGACAGATATGGAGTAAAGTGAGTAAAGTTAAATCCACTCCTTTTATATGGTTCTTGTTGCAATTTTATTTTTCAGAATTTCAGGAGGTCTAATCTATACAGAGGTGTAGCAAAACTCTGGATCCTCCTCTGCTAGTGCTGATTACAAACAGTAGCATTTATATAGGAAAGGTCTATCAAAATCTCCCTCCCATCCTCTTGATTCCAGCTTTTTGTCTCTCTGCCAGAGACAGAGAGACCCAGAAATCCATGGGATACTCTGAAATTCAAAGCAGAATCATGCACTTCTGTATTTAACATGTTGATGTCCACATAGGAAAAGCATCACTAGCAAGTTATCTGGAGAAGAGTTTTAAATTTTTAAAATGTGACCATTTGAAATGGAGGCATATTTTCCTATATTAAATCCTGAATGCTGCTTTTTGTTTTAAAATGGTCCAAGCAAATCTGAAAAAAGCTGAAACCCTGCACTTTGAAAATGCCAGAAAGAACTACTAAAATATCTTGAATGGAAGCTTTCCAAAATTGCTGGGTTCAGATACCTACTTGGAGTGCATTTCAAAGTGTCCCTTAAATTAATTCAAAGCTGATATTTGGTAACCTCCCATAGCCATATAGACACATATGAAGAAAATTCAATATTTCCTTCAATATTCTTTTAGGTTAAAGATATTTGGAAACTATGAAAGCCAGTTACACTTTTTCCTGGGTAAGCTTCAGGTGCAAATGGATTACAGCTCTCCAGATTCACAACCAGAAATTCTGCGAGTTGCAATCCAAAGCATCAGAAAGGCACCAGTTGCAGATGGCTTCCTAGGTATTACAGTCAATCTGTGTTTACTATAAAGTATCACCTAAGCTCCATTCTGCAAAACTGAAAGAACAAAGAATTGTTTAGTTAGTTCTGTGAGTGTTCTAAGTGGCTTTTGGCTTATGATTATTTTAGACAGTTGCACCCCCTCTCTGACAATCAAGCACATAAAATTGCAGATCGGTTTTTAAAACCACTTTCTAACTTCAGGAGAATTATCAGAACAGTTAGTGAAATAACATCAGGGAAAATAAAATGTCAGTAATTCCATTGAACAATATCCAAGCCCTTAGATATATCTAAATTAAGTGTTCTAATTTTTGAACATATTTTTCTTTCCCTCTGAGATGATTCAGATGAAATACTGTGTCATGGGTTAACATTGCAGCCTCCTACAACTAAAGCTGTATGCAAGTGAAGCTCATGTTTTTTTTAATAAATTGTATTTTTTTTCCTGTTGGCTTGTTTACAAAATTTGTATTTGAATGGCTTACAGCTAATACAGTAAACAAGACAAGAACAACAGTGATCAAGCTAGCAGATTGATAACCAGTAACAAGAGATGTAATAATTTGAGAAAATGTTCACAATAAAACTCATCAAATAACGCTCATCACTTGGAGATAAAAATAACATTTATTCCCCAAAGGTGCTGGAAGGGCAGAATTGTAACTGCGTCTTGATTATTATCAGGAAGGGAGCCATCCTAACTCTGAAGGACAGAGTATTCCAGAAGGGGGGGAACATCACAAAGAAGGCTTTTTTCCAAGCCCCCCAATTACTGTTCCCCCTTCTGTTGGTGCCTCTCAGATGGCAGAGAGCTTAGAACATGCCATGTTTTCTCCAGCAGATGATGATGATGATGATGATGATGATTTCAAGTTTTCAGCTTTCCCAATGTTGTTACGTAGCCAGAGTGACCCTGTGTACACGCAGAAGGGAAGGGGATCAAAGATAAAGAAACCTAGTTAGTGAATGGGGAAGAATGCCAAAACAAGTTGTAAGGATTCAGCCTGCTCACTAGGTACAGAATATGGACTGGGGCTAAAATGTGGGTGTGAGTGAATGGAAGGGAGAGGCTAGAAATGTGTACCCCAGGTGTCCAGGTTTCAGCCCTGCAATATGATTGCTCCCCTATATCAGTGTTCTCAACCTTAGCAACTTTAAGATGTGTGGACTTCAACTCCCAGAATGGAAGTCCGCACATCTTAAAGTTGCCATGGTTGAGAAACACTGCCCTACATTCCATTTCTCCAATGCTCATTTTCTTTGGATATAGCAGGGCTCTTTTCAGATAGGCACACCTTGCATGGCCTTTTTCGTAAGAGCTTTTGTAAGTATTTTACCATATAATTGAACGCAGGTGCATTTGCTTTTATCACTCATACACATACATTATAGATAAATAATGGATTGTTTTAAGAGGTAGGCTGCGTTCAGTGTTTAAACAGAAAGGCAGCATACAGGACAATAAGGAATATCAGCTTTCCCTGTGATAAGCAGAGAGAGAACTGCTGTGAAACATCTTTGGGGGGTGAATCTTTGCCTATGAAAGCAATTGGTTGGTGCTCTTACTAACTGGGAAATGTAAAGGGCTTGGTTAGATGAGAAGGCCCTTATTTAGACTCCTACAGTTGGCTTCCTTATACGTGTAGAAATAGAATTCTTCAAGATTTTGATTTTGCTACTATCATTTGCTTTTCAAATTAAGTTTAACGCCAACTTAGATTGGTTTGTTTAATCAATGTATATGGCTACCCAACTTGCAAATTGTGTCTCTGGGTGGCTAACATAAGGTTAAAGCCAGGTCTTTGTGAGGATTCACCATGCTGTAAGGCCAGCAGGGGTGGGTCCATCTGATCTTGCGGGGTATGCTGTTCCAGAGGGCAAGCCACAATAGAGAAGGCATGCCTGCTGGGTCCTACTAGCTCATACTATTTTGTAGAAGTGACTCAGAGCATGGTTACTGTGTCAGATCTTGTGGGATAGGCAACCACAGTTGGAAATAGACAGTCTTGCAAGTAACCTGGTCCTGTGCCATGGGGGTGATAACCATCACCTTGAATTGGACCTGGAAGCCTACTGGGAGCCAGTGCCGCTTGTGTTACATGGGTGTACTATGATGCCCCCATAACTACACACTGTGTCATTCTGGACCAGTTGCAGCTTCCAAGTGGTTTTTAAAGGCATGACCATGTAGGGCACATTGCATTCTAAGTGGGAAATGACCAGGTTGTGAAGGACTGTGAGCAGGGCCTCTTAATCAAGAAATGGGAGCAAAGGGTGAAGAACATGGATTTGTGCAAAAGCTCTCCTGGCCATGGCTGCCACCTGCTTTTTAAGCAGGACTCCTATGTTGAGCACCAGTTCAGTCTGAGAGGGCGATTCCATCCACAACTAAAGATAAAAAATCTCTGGATCCAGGGGGCCTAACGCTCACAGCCATTCAGTTTTGCTGGGGTTTGCTGAAGCCTGTTCTTTCTCATCTAGATCCCCACAGTCTCCAGGCACTGGCAGGAAACCTAGATGGCATTGCTTGGTCGGCCATGGGTAGAAATGTATATAGGTAGTCCTCAGTTAACAGCCATTTGTTCAGTGACCATTCGAAGTTACGGTGGCTGAACAATTGGTGGTCATGCCCGGTCCCTGAAGTTACGGCTGTTGCAGCGCCCCCTGTGGTCACGTCATCAAAATTTGGGCGCCTGACAGCCTGCCCGCACTTACGACCACAGGAGTGCTTCAACTCCCCCCCCCCCCATAAGGGGGCAGGACACATTTGGTGATTTTTGGATTGCTTTATTCCCTCTGGCTTGAAGTGCATTAAATTATGTGGTATACTGTATCTGAGAGATACTTCACAACTGTGCAGGACTAGACAGATGTACAAAATAGGACTGATACATAATTAAGCCAGCAGCATTTCACATCAAGAGTAATTTTTTCTTTAATGTGGCTTCAAAACACATTTATGTTTTGCGTGGTTACATTCTGTCTTTTCTCCCTAGGCAACAATCTTTGTTCCATGTCTTAGCTGCATATTCTGTTTATAATACGGTAAGCTGGTCTGTGCATGCATATAGTTCTGTCTGCATCTATACGTTGCCAGTTACATAGGTCACCCTTCAATTACATTGAATTCATGGAAATAGAATTCTGAAAGGGCAACATGAAAGCAGTGAGTTTGAATAGGGCTAATTCTCTATTGGATTGTTTTGCCCAACAGGTGTAAAAGAAAATATTTCTGATTCTTGGCCAGATGCTATCAAAGCATGCTTTGCAAATACTTGCCTGGAACCATTAAGATCAGAAACTGTAAAAACAGTAGTAAATAAAGCTCACTGAGCCAATAAAATACTGTATTTGAATATGCGTAAGAAGTTTTAACAGTGTGATCGGGATGGGTCAAATACAAGAAATAGTTGTGGGATTCCGGAACAGAACGTTATAAATGTTCCCAAAATTGCAAAAGTTGTCTCCCCTTTGTCTCTGGTTTGAAGAATTGAAGAGGGGTAGCCATGTTAATCTGTTGAGCAGAGCAAGTACCCAATAGCATTATTAGGATAACCAAAACCATGTTAGTGGGCTAACATCCATCGCTTACTCTCTTTGTGTATAGTTCTGTGGCTTCCTACTCAGAAATGTCAGATTGTGTTCCATGAAACTCACAATTAAACGCTTTAAGGTAGCATAAACCCCTAAATGATGTTACAGTCTTAATTTTGGGGATAGGTTGGAATAAATTAATATGTGATATTTCAAGTTAAGCCCAAATTCTTTATAGGGCAGATGTTCAAGTGAATCAGTTTGAAAGGAAGGGAATTTAATCAGAGAGAGGTTGTAGCATTGACTTCCTTCTGAAGTACAAATGTTCTGTGTTGAAGGCTGTTTTGTACTAAGCAGTATTTCATCATGAGGGTAGCCAGTCATCTAAACAGGGGAGAGGGGCTAAAGATTACATGAAATATAGATGTGGAATAACAACAGGCCAAAGTGCAGAAGATGGGAAGAAGATCCCTTGTCCTCTTCTAGCTTCATAGTCAACATATCCTTAGAGCAGTGTTTCTCAACCTTGGCTACTTTAAGATATGTGGACTTTAACTCACAGAATTCCCCAGCCAGCATGCTCTTGAAGTAGCCAAGGTTCAGAAACACTGCCTTGGAGGCTTCTCCACATCTTCAGGATAAAAAATTAGGTCATGGTAGCTTGTTCTGTAGAAGCTCTACTTATACCAGCCTAGCTTTTCTTTTCAGTTCTCTGTGCCAAGTCAGACAGAGAACTAATCCTTAGGGATACCTTTCCTCCAAACATCTCAGAAGTCACTCTGTTTCCTACCCTTGCTGCAGAAAAGCGAGTGCAACTGTTTTGGGGGTGTTTGCATGTGTTGACAAATTTTGTAACTCTCTTGTCGCCCTTTTCCCAGGAGGTTGGATACTGTCAAGGGATGAGCCACATAACAGCATTGCTCCTTATGTACATGAATGAAGAAGATGCTTTCTGGGCTCTGGTGAAACTGCTCTCGGGGCCCAAGCATGCTATGCATGGTACGTATCTGGGGTTTCATTCACTGTCATTCTGTCTGTCTGTCTGTCTGTCTGTCTGTCTGTCTATCTATCTATCTATCTATCTATCTATCTATCTATCTATCTATCTATCTATCTATCTAATTTTTCGGCCGCCCATCTCCCCCAATGGGAGAACTCTGGCGATTCACAACAAACATTAGA